TATTTATCGGTATTATAGGAGTTCAAAGTGAATAAATATCGATACTAAATACAAGCGAGCTGTTATGTTTTTTTGTTGGTAATCAATTCTTTTTTTTACCGTCGGCATTCCGATTCACCCCAGCCACATGCATAGGGACCGTGACTGTGTCCTGGCGACTCACAACTTTTGCGGGTCGTCATCGTTGTGATTGCTCAATTCATTAATTGAACAAAATTGTAAGTTATTCCAATGGTATACATATTTCAACAAAACATTAATGACAGCATGTTTTTTTATCAAGACAGTTTCAAATTCGTAATTATGTTTTTGGCGTTCCATAGCCATCGGTACGGTGTGCTTGCTGTGGTAAACTGAATTATAAACAAGAATAAAACATAATTGCCGAAGCCATCGGTTGAATGAAAGGTGTGAAAACGTGCTAACTTTGTCCTTTGTGAGCTTATTAGTTGTCTGAGGTGGAAGGCAGTAGTCTGCAAGACATCCGGGAACTATGTCCGTTATATGCAGTTCAACTGTTCACTGCGGCCGCTGAAGCGTGGCCGTTGGCCGCGTTAGGCAGGTGGCCGCTGTAAACAGGGTACTTTACATGTAAAATTCGTAGGGACTGTTCGGTTGTGACCGCTATAGGCAGGTGGCCGCTATATCCAGGTGGCCGTTAACACAGGTTTGACTGTAAGTCCCACATTTCCCTGATTCTCTTGATTGCAGAGGTTAGATGGGTCTATTTCTAGTGAAGTCAGAAAACAAGCATTGGACCACTTCAATGCAGAGGGGTCGATGGTAAGGATCGTATTTGTGTTTACATTTACTGTGTTATGTATAAAGTACAAGACAATGTAGAAGGAAAATATCCTCAGTGATGGAATTTTGTATTTCCCGCATTCCAAATTGTGGAATTCACCTTATCTCGGACGGTAGTGCAAATTTATTTTTATAAGCCCTGTTAGAAGTAAATGCATGCTGTGTCTATGCTCAAACTGCTATATTTTAATGATCAAGCTTAATAAATACAATTTTTGTTGTAAGTGTTCCAAAATCCAATTGATCGTATTATTTTTCAACACTCTCCATTGCATGTTACTTTCGTTGTATACTCTTAACTCAAGGTCTTGTCAAACATTAAAAATGATCATATTAACCACACTGAATGTCCCTGTAAAAAACTCTCTTACAGGATTTTTGTTTCTTGCTATCAACAAGAGCCGGGGGTCTTGGTATAAATCTAGCTACAGCAGATACAGTTATTATCTTTGATTCCGACTGGAATCCACAGAATGACCTCCAAGCACAAGCGAGGGCACACAGAATAGGTCAAAGGAATCAGGTAAGGGCAGATTCAGAGTTCAACTCGTCTCCCTCTGAAAACCTCTATGGGTAGCCAAAGTAAACATCAGCAGGGGATGTCTAAGCAATAAAGTATATGAATACGTTTCATTAACCTATAGAACACACATTCTGTTCATCTTGATGTACTATTTTTTTATTTTTGACCAAATTATTTCTCTTTGACGGCTGGTCTTTTGAAAAAACAATATGCAGTGTGCCAAAAGTTGACTGGCATTTAGTGTCGGTGATGCAACTGTAAATTGTAGAAAAATAATTGTGCTTTGAAAATCATGCAATTTTGTTGTGGTTACCCTCATCCAAAATATATAGTCTAAAGCCTAATCGGTGTCCATATAGCATCTTTTGGCGCCCTAACAAAACTTTGCTGGTTTCTATTGAGATTTTGTGTAATTTATATGGGGAAAAAACATAATCAGATTGGGCGTGCCTCTAATGCATGCCTCAGAGTGGTAATGGAGATAAAACAAAAGGATGAGTGTCAACTTGCCAAAGAGGGCGCACTATAAAATACACTTCCGGGTAGCTAAGGGAAGAGTAGGAAATCAAACAGGCGGTCCACAGCGGTCATTAACGCGGTGGTGGTAGGTGCTCGCCGGTCGACCGCATTTTATGCAAATTTATGCATAGATTCCATGACGCCGGCTGACCTCGGTCTTCCGCAGTGGGCTCGCACAGCAATTCACACTTATTGTCAAGACCATTAATGAACACAAAGAACTGGGAAATTAAAAGGATCACAAAGTTCTAATGA